TGGACAGCTCTACAGCATCAATACAGCACTTCAGTACAGCTCTAGAGCTACAGTACAGCTCTAGAGCTACAGGACAACACCATACAGCTCTACAGCTACAGTACAGCTCTAGAGCTTCAGGACAACATGGTACAGCTCTAGAGCTACGGTACAGCTCTAGAGCTACAGGACAACACAATACAGTGCTACAGTACAGCTCTAGAGCTACAGGACAACACAATACAGTGCTCCTGGATAGCTCTAGAGCTACAGGATAACATGGTCTGTGCGGGTAAAATACCCATCCTTGTACTTACCCAGCATCCACAGCGCCCGGGTCTGCCCGTACACGTCGATGAGCCCCCACAAGGGGGCGCTGATGTCAATGCCGCCCAGCAGCTTATGCTTACACCCGCCGTTGACCTGGAAGTGCAGCTCTCCCCGCCTGGTGACCCAGAAGGCCAGCTCGTTGCCGGGGGAGGCGCACTCCTCGGGCAGCGGCTCCACCCAGAAGCCCGGGAGCTGCTGCAGGTCGGGGCAGGCGAAGGGGGGCAGGAGGTCGGGGTCCAGGTGGGAGGGGTGCCAAGAGGCGACACCCAGGCGCAGGGCGCCGTGCCAGTGGCCCTCGCCGCGCTCCACCTGCAGGCGCGCGACCTCGCCCACCCGCAGCGGCCGGCTGGTGAACACGATGGCGTCCTTGAAGGAGCAGCCCACCCTCTCCGCCAGCAGCCCCCCCGCGCGGAGCGAGATGCTGGAGCCCTTGGCGTGGGGGTGGAAGGTGAGCGGCCCCAGGCAGCGCCGGCTGCAGCGGCGAAGGGACGCCCCCGCTGTGGAGAGGGAGAGAGAAGACAGGCCGTCAGGCTCACTGCCAGGCTGGGATCGCCAGCTCCCTCTCTGCCGCAGGGAGTGCTGGGCCCACAGGCTGGACTCTTGATCCGCTTGCAGTGGGCTCTAGTGACCCGACCCGGACTCGAACCCGTGACACCTGGATCAGAGAGCTCAGCCCGCACTCAACTCAGCCAATCGGGAGCCTGTTAGGTAAGTTTCTAAAGATCATGGCTTTGTTCTTCTCCCTCAATCTCACTCTTCCAGTCCCCCACTCCCTCTCTCTCACTCTTCCAGCCCCTCACTCCCTC